CATGCAGGGCTGCAATGCAGGTGCATGGAGGGCTGCAACGCAGGTACATGGAGGGGTGCAATGCAGGTGCATGGAGGGGTGCAATGCAGGTGCATGCAGGGCTGCAATGCAGGTGCATGGAGGGCTGCAACGCAGGGACATGGAGCATCTCCCCCACATCCCCATCTCCATCTCCCGAACATCCCCATCTCCATCTCCCCATCCCCATCTCCTCCACATCCCCATCACTCCCATTCCCATCTCCCCCACATCCCCATCTCCATCTCCCGAACATCCCCATCTCCATCTCCCCATCCCCATCTCCTCCACATCCCCATCACTCCCATTCCCATCTCCCCCACATCCCCATCTCCATCTCCCGAACATCCCCATCTCCATCTCCCCATCCCCATCTCCTCCACATCCCCATCACTCCCATTCCCATCTCCCCCACATCCCCATCTCCATCTCCCGAACATCCCCATCTCCATCTCCCCATCCCCATCTCCTCCACATCCCCATCACTCCCATTCCCATCTCCCCCACATCCCCATCTCCATCTCCCGAACATCCCCATCTCCATCTCCCCATCCCCATCTCCTCCACATCCCCATCACTCCCATTCCCATCTCCCCCACATCCCCATCTCCATCTCCCGAACATCCCCATCTCCATCTCCCCATCCCCATCTCCTCCACATCCCCATCACTCCCATTCCCATCTCCCCCACATCCCCATCTCCATCTCCCGAACATCCCCATCTCCATCTCCCCATCCCCATCTCCTCCACATCCCCATCACTCCCATTCCCATCTCCCCCACATCCCCATCTCCATCTCCCGAACATCCCCATCTCCATCTCCCCATCCCCATCTCCTCCACATCCCCATCACTCCCATTCCCATCTCCCCCACATCCCCATCTCCATCTCCCGAACATCCCCATCTCCATCTCCCCATCCCCATCTCCTCCACATCCCCATCACTCCCATTCCCATCTCCCCCACATCCCCATCTCCATCTCCCGAACATCCCCATCTCCATCTCCCCATCCCCATCTCCTCCACATCCCCATCACTCCCATTCCCATCTCCCCCACATCCCCATCTCCATCTCCCGAACATCCCCATCTCCATCTCCCCATCCCCATCTCCTCCACATCCCCATCACTCCCATTCCCATCTCCCCCACATCCCCATCTCCATCTCCCGAACATCCCCATCTCCATCTCCCCATCCCCATCTCCTCCACATCCCCATCACTCCCATTCCCATCTCCCCCACATCCCCATCTCCATCTCCCGAACATCCCCATCTCCATCTCCCCATCCCCATCTCCTCCACATCCCCATCACTCCCATTCCCATCTCCCCCACATCCCCATCTCCATCTCCCGAACATCCCCATCTCCATCTCCCCATCCCCATCTCCTCCACATCCCCATCACTCCCATTCCCATCTCCCCCACATCCCCATCTCCATCTCCCGAACATCCCCATCTCCATCTCCCCATCCCCATCTCCTCCACATCCCCATCACTCCCATTCCCATCTCCCCCACATCCCCATCTCCATCTCCCGAACATCCCCATCTCCATCTCCCCATCCCCATCTCCTCCACATCCCCATCACTCCCATTCCCATCTCCCCCACATCCCCATCTCCATCTCCCGAACATCCCCATCTCCATCTCCCCATCCCCATCTCCTCCACATCCCCATCACTCCCATTCCCATCTCCCCCACATCCCCATCTCCATCTCCCGAACATCCCCATCTCCATCTCCCCATCCCCATCTCCTCCACATCCCCATCACTCCCATTCCCATCTCCCCCACATCCCCATCTCCATCTCCCGAACATCCCCATCTCCATCTCCCCATCCCCATCTCCTCCACATCCCCATCACTCCCATTCCCATCTCCCCCACATCCCCATCTCCATCTCCCGAACATCCCCATCTCCATCTCCCCATCCCCATCTCCTCCACATCCCCATCACTCCCATTCCCATCTCCCCCACATCCCCATCTCCATCTCCCGAACATCCCCATCTCCATCTCCCCATCCCCATCTCCTCCACATCCCCATCACTCCCATTCCCATCTCCCCCACATCCCCATCTCCATCTCCCGAACATCCCCATCTCCATCTCCCCATCCCCATCTCCTCCACATCCCCATCACTCCCATTCCCATCTCCCCCACATCCCCATCTCCATCTCCCGAACATCCCCATCTCCATCTCCCCATCCCCATCTCCTCCACATCCCCATCACTCCCATTCCCATCTCCCCCACATCCCCATCTCCATCTCCCGAACATCCCCATCTCCATCTCCCCATCCCCATCTCCTCCACATCCCCATCACTCCCATTCCCATCTCCCCCACATCCCCATCTCCATCTCCCGAACATCCCCATCTCCATCTCCCCATCCCCATCTCCTCCACATCCCCATCACTCCCATTCCCATCTCCCCCACATCCCCATCTCCATCTCCCGAACATCCCCATCTCCATCTCCCCATCCCCATCTCCTCCACATCCCCATCACTCCCATTCCCATCTCCCCCACATCCCCATCTCCATCTCCCGAACATCCCCATCTCCATCTCCCCATCCCCATCTCCTCCACATCCCCATCACTCCCATTCCCATCTCCCCCACATCCCCATCTCCATCTCCCGAACATCCCCATCTCCATCTCCCCATCCCCATCTCCTCCACATCCCCATCACTCCCATTCCCATCTCCCCCACATCCCCATCTCCATCTCCCGAACATCCCCATCTCCATCTCCCCATCCCCATCTCCTCCACATCCCCATCACTCCCATTCCCATCTCCCCCACATCCCCATCTCCATCTCCCGAACATCCCCATCTCCATCTCCCCATCCCCATCTCCTCCACATCCCCATCACTCCCATTCCCATCTCCCCCACATCCCCATCTCCATCTCCCGAACATCCCCATCTCCATCTCCCCATCCCCATCTCCTCCACATCCCCATCACTCCCATTCCCATCTCCCCCACATCCCCATCTCCATCTCCCGAACATCCCCATCTCCATCTCCCCATCCCCATCTCCTCCACATCCCCATCACTCCCATTCCCATCTCCCCCACATCCCCATCTCCATCTCCCGAACATCCCCATCTCCATCTCCCCATCCCCATCTCCTCCACATCCCCATCACTCCCATTCCCATCTCCCCCACATCCCCATCTCCATCTCCCGAACATCCCCATCTCCATCTCCCCATCCCCATCTCCTCCACATCCCCATCACTCCCATTCCCATCTCCCCCACATCCCCATCTCCATCTCCCGAACATCCCCATCTCCATCTCCCCATCCCCATCTCCTCCACATCCCCATCACTCCCATTCCCATCTCCCCCACATCCCCATCTCCATCTCCCGAACATCCCCATCTCCATCTCCCCATCCCCATCTCCTCCACATCCCCATCACTCCCATTCCCATCTCCCCCACATCCCCATCTCCATCTCCCGAACATCCCCATCTCCATCTCCCCATCCCCATCTCCTCCACATCCCCATCACTCCCATTCCCATCTCCCCCACATCCCCATCTCCATCTCCCGAACATCCCCATCTCCATCTCCCCATCCCCATCTCCTCCACATCCCCATCACTCCCATTCCCATCTCCCCCACATCCCCATCTCCATCTCCCGAACATCCCCATCTCCATCTCCCCATCCCCATCTCCTCCACATCCCCATCACTCCCATTCCCATCTCCCCCACATCCCCATCTCCATCTCCCGAACATCCCCATCTCCATCTCCCCATCCCCATCTCCTCCACATCCCCATCACTCCCATTCCCATCTCCCCCACATCCCCATCTCCATCTCCCGAACATCCCCATCTCCATCTCCCCATCCCCATCTCCTCCACATCCCCATCACTCCCATTCCCATCTCCCCCACATCCCCATCTCCATCTCCCGAACATCCCCATCTCCATCTCCCCATCCCCATCTCCTCCACATCCCCATCACTCCCATTCCCATCTCCCCCACATCCCCATCTCCATCTCCCCAACATCCCCATCTCCATCTCCCCATCTCCATCTCCCCCACATCCCCATCACTCCCATTCCCGTCTCTCCCACATCCCCATCTCCATCTCCCCAACATCCCCATCTCCATCTCCCCATCTCCATCTCCTCCACATCCCCATCACTCCCATTCCCGTCTCTCCCACATCCCCATCTCCATCTCCCCAACATCCCCATCTCCATCTCCCCATCTCCATCTCCTCCACATCCCCATCACTCCCATTCCCATCTCCTCCACATCCCCGTCTCCATCTCCCCCGCATCCCCGTCCCCATCTCCTCCCCATCCCCATGTCCCCGTCCCCGCGGACCTTGTGCGCCAGCGACTCGAAGATGCCCCAGAAGAGCTTGCGCGTGAGGTGCAGCTCCTCCTCGGAGCTCACGCCGTAGTTGGGCCAGCCGCTGGGCAGGCAGTAGTACTTCCAGCAGCGCTCGTAGTGGTTGGTCAGCAGCTGGGGACACGGTGGGGACACGTGAGGACGGCGGCCGGCGCCCCCGGGGACACCCAACGCGTGGGATCCATCACCTTGAGGGGCATCTTGGCAAACTCGTTGAGGATGGGCACGTCGAAGACGAGGCGGCGCAGGAGGTGCTGCAGCATGGAGGGGCGGATGTACCTGGGGGACGGAGGGGACGGTGAGCGGGACGGCGTCACATGGGGATGGGAAGTTGCACGGGGACGGGACGTTGCACGGGGACAAGGACGTTGCACGGGGACAGGACATTGCATGGGGATGGGACTTTGCATGGAGACGGGACTTTGCATGGGGACAAGGACATTGCACGGAGATGGGACGTTGCACGGGGATGGGACGTTGCATGGGGACAAGGACATTGCACGGAGATGGAGGGGGACAAGGACATTGCACGGAGACGGGACGTTGCACGGGGACGGACACTGCATGGGGACAGGGCATCACACAGGGATGGGACATCACACCAGGTGAGGATATTGCACAGGGATGGGATGTTGCACGGGGACAAGGACATTGCACGGAGACGGGACATTGCACGGAGACGGGATGTTGCACGGAGACGGGACGTTGCACGGGGACGGGACGTTGCACGGGGACAAGAACATTGCATGGGGACAAGGACATTGCATGGGGACAGGACGTTGCACGGAGATGGGACATTGCATGGAGACGGGACATTGCACGGAGATGGGACACTGCATGGGGACAAGGACATTGCACGGAGATGGGACATTGCACTGAGATGGGACATTGCACGGGGACAGGGCATCACACAGGGACGGGACATCACACAGGATTAGGATATCGCACGGGGACAGGACATTGCACAGGGACAGGACATTGCACAGGAAGGGGACATTGCACAGGGACGGGACATTGCACAGGGACAAGGACATCGCACGGAGACGGGACGTTGCACGGGAATGGGACTTTGCATGGAGATGGGACTTTGCACAGGGACGGGACGTTGCACGGGGACGGGATGTTGCACGGGAATGGGACATTGCACATGGACAAGGACATTGCACAGGGACAGGACGTTGCACGGAGACGGGACGTTGCACGTGGACAAGACGTTGCACGTGGACAAGGACATTGCACGGGGACAAGGACATTGCACATGGACAAGGACATTGCACAGGGACAGGACGTTGCACAGGGACAGGACGTTGCACATGGACAAGGACGTTGCACAGGGACAAGGACATTGCACAGGGACAGGACATTGCATGGAGACAGGACGTTGCATGGAGACAGGACGTTGCACAAGGACGGGACGTTGCACAGGGACAAGGACATTGCACAGGGACAGGATGTTGCATGGAGACGGGATGTTGCACGGGAATGGGACATTGCACAGGGACAAGGACATTGCACCGGGACAGGACATTGCACATGGACAAGGACATTGCACAGGGACAGGACGTTGCACAGGGACAGGACGTTGCACATGGACAAGGACGTTGCACTTTTGCACGGAGATGGGACGTTGCACAGGGATGGGACATTGCACGTGGACAAGGACATTGCACAGGGACAGGACATTGCACGGGGACACGGGGTCCCCCCAGCTCCCCGCTCACCGGCACAGCGCCATGAGACACTCCTCGATGACGTCGCGCTGCGCCTTGGTGAGCGAGCGGCCGCGCGACAGGCGGTAGATGGTGTGCAGCATGGAGTCCACCATGATGGCGCGGTGCTCGGTGCCCGCGAAGAGCGGCGCGCACTTGGTGATGAGCGGCAGCACCGCCACGCACAGGTAGCGGGTCACCG